GCTGCCGCTCCCCAGCGCCAGCTCACGGCAACTGGCCCCCGCCCTGTCGCCTTCCCTCACAGTCTGCTCCCTTGTTTTTGAACCCGCTGCTCCGAGGAGGCACCTGCACCATGACCCAGGACAGCACTCAGCACCCACCCTCCCAGCACCGAATTCAAGGGGCTCCCTGTAGCTGGAGACAGGGGTCATTATTGTCACCGGCCCAGTTTCCCCAATTCTGCTGGTTACGCGGCACTTGTTACACGCCCTGCCTTCGCTGAGTGTTCACACGCAGGACCTTAATTCTCTTGGCTGCTTTAGGGAGCAAATACCGGGCTCCTCAGTGGACAGCAGAGTAGCCTGGGGTTCAGAGCGGCCTGTGGGCTCCCAGAGTGGTGCAGCCGCTGCGTGGCCACAGCCGACTTTGGCAGATACCCGCGTGTACCCTGCACTTAGCCACAGTGTAAGAGCGACCTGCGCCTCGTTGGTGCTGTCCGCAACGCCAAGCACACGGTGGGCGGAGGAGCTGGCACACTGACAGTGCACAGAGAAGGCGTGTGGAAGGCATGCTAGTGAGCTGGAGGGGACGACTACAGAGCGGCAACCACCCTCTCCGCCGTGCAGGAGCCTGCGGCTGGGGGGGGGGGGCGAGCCTGCGGCTGGTGGGAGGAGCATCGGGTGGAACAGGGTCCCTGGGTTCTGCTGTGTTCCAGCTGTGGACGGCGCTCGGCTCTCCTGGGCATCCCCAGCTGAGCCTCACACACATCTGAGCCAGAAAGCACCATCCACCGCAAAGACGAGAGGCAGACACTCCGAGCACGTTGCCTCCTCCTGCGGCTCCTGTGTAGGAACGGCAAAGCCACAACCAGCACCGAGGCCATGGCAGCGCCTGAGCCTTCTTGCCTGCCTCGGCTCTTTAAAGAGACCCTCTGGCTTTTCTAGCCGTACCTCATACCTGCACACTTCAGTAACCTGTCAGAGGGCTCTGAATTAAGATGTTGGATCTCGTCTGTGTTTTTCCTAGATCAGTAAATGCTTGGGGATCAGTACACTAGATTGAAGTTCATGAAGCTAAACAAACACTCAGAAAACAAACTCACCATTGTGAGTACATGAAAAATACGAAGTACGGTACTTGGGGTTAGTGTGCTCTCCCCACCACATATAAAAATAACCCAGAATTCTCTTTATATTTCTTGCTTTAAATAGAGAATATTTAAGAATAAAATACAGGGTGATCATGCTTTCATTTCAATAATTTTTAACTTAACCTAATGGAAACCTCTCCCTCACCCTTGTGCAGGATTTACTGCCGATGAGCAGCTTTGTAGGCTCCGAGGGCCACAGCAGTCGTTTGTCCGCTCCAGGGCAGATTCCAGACAGACAGCAACCTGAGCAGCTTTCATCTTTTCCTCCCCAATAACTCTGGCTTCTTTTCATTCAACCTTCTCATCCGTCAGTCTTTGCAGAGAAAAACATGGGCGAGCCTGCGGCAAGCTTAACAGAACAACTACACATGCAGAGGGCGCTTGGTCCTTCGAGGGTCTCGAGTGCCCTGACTGAGGCTCTCTGGGTTAACAGGCTGACTGTGCATCCAGAGGGTCTCTTCATGCGGACCAGACTTAGGGCTTGGGAGGTTCCCAGGGAAAGTGCTACACGTGGGAGCTGAAGACAGGCCCTCACACTTTGCGGATCTCTGAATCTTATGCACAAGCCACCATGTGGATATGGCACAGGAACACTGGTGCTGAGCCCCGGAAAGAGCATTTTGTTCTCCTCCATTTTTTTTTTCTCCTTTAAGCTTTTGCTATAGGACATTGCACTACCTGGGAGAGACACAAAGAGGAAAAATGAGAAGTCACCCATCAGAGGGATGGCCCAGCCGCAATTCCTTCTCTTCTACTCTCCTCTTAGGATTTTGGGCATGAACATATCACGCCCAGAGAGAGTCACAAGCCACTGGGCCCGGGACTCAGACTCCAGTCAGCTGTGTGTGAGTGCAGCACCCGAGCCACGCCCCTGCTGGGCCTTCTCGCCCTCCTCACTTCTGAGCCCCAGGCTCAGCTGGCTGTTTACGTGGTGGCAGGACCATCGTATCTGCTGGCGCCAGAAGAAAGCCGGCGACGAGTACGTTCTAGAACTTCCTCACTAGGATCCAGTCACAATGGCCACCAGGACAGAATTGGGACCCTGCTCAGATGCTTATGTGCTGTTGGGGACACAAGGGCTGACTCTGCCCTGTTTTTTTTTTTTTTTTTTCTTTTTCTTTTGGAAAGATAAAACGTGGAGAAAAGGGAACTCGCGTGCACTCTGGTAGGAATGTGAATGCCACAGCCACTGTAGAAACAGTACGAAGAGTCCTCAGAAATGTAAAAAACAGAACTATTATGTGGCCCAGTCATCTCGTTCTTGGGTACCTACCTCAAGGATAGGAAGTCACTGTAGAGAGACATTTGCTCATCCATGTTTCTGCGCATTATTCACGGTAGCTAAGATGCAGAACCAACCTAAATGCCCACCAACCATCAAGGGACACGGATATCGAACAGAATGCCACTCGGCCGTGAAGAATGACACCATTGGATACAGTGGACGAGCCAGGAGATCCAGTGCTAAGCGAGACCAGCAGGCCACGGAGACAGATGCTGCAAGTCCCCACCATCCGCGATGGCAGAGACTGAAGGGCTCGCTGGGGCGGACATGCAGAGCAACAGTGGGAACAAGAAGCCGCGTGGGGGAAGGTGGGGGTTGGGGAGGTGATGGACAGACACAAGAACGTGTGTGAACATGTGTAGAGGGTTACAGGATGGTGTGCCATGGTGGAGTGGAAAAATACATATACTTCCAAAAGGTACTTCAAACATACGAACAAAAACACCCTTGAAAACGAAAAAGAAACGCGAAGTGTTATTGAATGTGCACCTTGGGTACTGGCGAGTGAGCGTGTGCCTTGACCTGTTTACTGCACGCCGCAAGCACCCTCGGAAAGCTGTGCTGCACCTCACGAAGATGTACAATGACTCTGTGTGAACTAGAAGCCACAGTAAGACAGAAAAAAAAGAAAAGCGAAGTGTTATTGAATGTGCGTGCACCTTGGGTACTGGCGAGTGAGCGTGTGCCTTGACCTGTTTACTGCACGCCGCAAGCACCCTCGGAAAGCTGTGCTGCACCTCACGAAGATGTACAATGACTCTGTGTGAACTAGAAGCCACAGTAAGACAGAAAGGGAGAGAAGGGTCACAGAAGTTTTGGTTTCCATTGCTTCCTACTCAGCTTAGGTTCGGGCTAAACAAAACCAAACCCAACAAATGGACTGTCTCCTTCCGCGGTGCTTCCCGTGCCCTCCCTGCTGAGGCCGTGAAAGGAAAGGGTTGCCAAGGACCACGTTTACCTCTAGTTTTGTATACATTCGCTCTGAAAGGCATCTGTGTCTTCCAAAGCCGTCTGGGCCAGGAGGGAAGCAGCGAAGGAGCGTGTGTGGAAGAGCGCATCCCCTGAGGCTTCGTCGCTCCGGTTCCTAGTAGACGGCTATCTTGTATAATCGGGGCACTTGTGCCCAGCGGCTGCTCAGCCTCCTGTAAGGCGGCCAGTCACAGACACAGGTACAGAGCCGAGTGGACGGACAGAGAAGGCTAAGGCTGGGTTCCAGTGTCCTGCTGCACCTAGCCAAGGCCGCTAGCACCTTGCTTCACTTCTCCAGTTTCCAAGTTCCTGTCTGCTAAACTGGGGTAGGGCGGAGGGGAGATGGGAGGGTGGCAACGAGCTGATTAAAGCAGCATTAATGATGCAGTTTATGAAGCACTTGTACATATGTCAGCTCAGGGAGGCTGTAAAGGTGGGAGGGCAGGGAGCCTGAGCTCCACAGGCCTGGAGTAAGTTCGACTGCAAACCAGGTCTCCGGAGGCACTTGTGGCTTAGAGGACCGTGGTTTTCTTGGCTTCAGTATCATAACGATGCCTATGGATTCTGGTTTTCAGATTTCAAGGAAATTTTCAGTTAAAGAATGTCAAATTTATGACAAGCTATTTACATATTTTTTCCTTCTCGAGAACTGCATTGGTTATTTTCTCTGGCCCAGTGGTTTCCAAAGATGGTCTGGACTCGCTGTATCAGCTGAGGACTTCGAAGTGAGGATTTCTAGGTGCCGCTCCAGACTTACGGGACCGCTGTCTGTGGCCCTAAGACTGTTCTAGAACCTTCCCTGACCTAAATGTGCTCACCTCTCGGAACCCGCTGATGGCTGACATTCCACACCTGATGGACGGACGGACACAAGCGCAGCTCAGCCCGTAGCCAGCCAGCTCTGTGACACTGTCAGCTGCTGTCCCAGTGCCTGACCTGGAAACTATACCCTTCACAAAGCCACACATGTTCTGCGCTAGCCGCTACCCCCGTCAACTCTACTTGGACTTCAAAACATTTTAGAATAACAGCTATGTAGTCAAGCATATCATAAACCTTGAGTTGCCACTCTTTAAAAATAGAACACGTTGAGTGATTATTCAAGGTGGTTAGCCCTTTCAATCCCTTACTCAAGGAACTTGACCATCTATCCCCTCATTTTCAGCCCTGGGATCTCGGTAACTTCAGAAGCAAGTTCATGTGGCCGTGACGCCTTTCTTTTTCTCTCTGTCATAGGGCACATGTGCTGGAGAGAGACAGTGAGAAGAGGGTGGCCACGCTGCAACCCCTTATCTCCCAGTCAGGACTTTGGGCACACACGCAGCTGCGTGATTTCCAAGTCACCAGGCCCAGGACTCAGACTGCAGTTGGCCATGTGGGAGTCCAGACCTGAACCGCCATGCCAGCTGCTGGACCATGACACCTATTCTTAAGTGAGGGCCTCTCTTCCTTCAATCAGGAAAGAATGCATTCATAAATAATAAAAATGACCCAAAACATTTATTTTAAAGTTTTCTTTTTAACATTTATTTAGAAAGCCAAATATAGCATTCATTAATTATAAATATGCAATTTTATGTCAAATATTTGGATTTCATGGACATTAAGGCTTAGTGTGTTCCTTTTGATTACTTTCCTATGCTTGAAGTAAAAACCCTATGGTGGGGCGGAAGGAGGGAGATAGACGGCAGCACAGTGGTAGAGGGATGCTGGGAGGCAGCTCCACATGGCAAGGCCCTGGTCATGCCTGGAGACCTCCTACGTGTGCAGGTGCCCTCTGAGTATCTGGTGTGCCTGTGCACGTGGCCTGGGAGGGCTGAAGCTGGGCAAGCCATGGCATCGAGACCCTCTTGGGGCTGCACTCTCTCTATTCCATTCATTCACAGAAGAAATAAACTTAAAACCCTGGAGATTTCTGATGGAAAATATGACTCCGATCTCATGTGAGAAGTGTTTTTAAATGACTGTTGATGTGAGTCTCTGTGTGTGTGTGCATGTGTGTCTGTGTGTGTGTAGTATTATATGACACCAATTACTTCAGGACATCAACACTAATTTAAGAATTTTCTTTTTGTATAAAACATTTAATTTATTGAACTTTTTGGGTACTTTGATATATCATCACTACATTACAACTGAGCCATTAATCTTGTAGCTTCATCAACATTAACAGGTTCATTTTCAAGATGTTGCTGAGGAATCAGATCTTTCTGTAGAGGTTCAAGAGAAAGACCTCTTGAAAAGTGTGCCAGTTCTTTTTGTATATTTATAAAAGGTTTATTCACTCTGTTAACTTTTTTTTTTTTTTGAGAGGTTTTTGCTATAGGGCACGTGCGCTCGCCAGAAAGACAGAGAGACAGAAAGCAGGAAATCACCCCCCAGGGGGGATAGCCACGCCACAATCCCTTCTCCTCCATTCTCCTCTCAGGATCTTGGGCATGCACGCACACGCGCCCGGCGTAAGTTTAAGCCACCGGGTCCGGGACTCGAACTGCGGTAGACTACGTGGGAGTCCAGTGACATAGCCATTACGCTAACTGCTGGTCCCACACTCTGTTAACTTTTTCATCATTCATAATGTTTATCTTAAGATTTGTAGTAACTGGTTTTGCTTTGTTTTTAGCCTTGAAGTTTTTTTGGCTGGCTATATGAAATACATTCCTGGACTTCTGACCTCTAAATTTGTTCTTGGCCATTGTCAGACCCCAGACACCCGCATGCAGCTCCTCAAGCTCCAGGTGACCACTAATTTAAGAATTTTTTTGGAGACCAGCAGATGGTATAATGCTTACATCACTGGACTCCCACATAGTTAACTGTGGTTGAGTTCTGAAGCTGACAGCCTCAAACTCACATCTGGCGCAAGTGCATGCATGCCCAAGATCCTAAGAGGAGAATGGAGAAGGGATTGTGGTGTGACCATACCTCTGGGGGATGATTTCTCACTTTCTCTCTCTCTGTGTCTCTGGCGAACGCACGTGCCCTATTGCAAACATCTCTCTCTCTCTCTCAAAAATAATAATTTTTTGGAATGCTTTTGTACACATCTCAAACAAACTTTAAAATTCAAAGAGAGAGGTACAAGACTGCCTTTCAAGAAAAAAATCATACCTATTTCCAAAATTTACTTTTTTCCATGTAAAAATTACACAGAAATAATCTTTTACTCCCTTGAACGGGGGAGCCTGGGGAACAGACGGTGTGTACTCGGTGAGGCTTCTGTCATTAACTCGCTGCCACGAGAAGGCGGTGCACCCTTCTCGGACGGCTGCATGAGACCTGCAGACCTCATGGCTGTGAAATGGCCCACGGCTCTCCCGATGTTTGTGGTGACAGCTTCCGGAAGACAGACTGACGTCGGCCCGTCACGGCACTCCAACGATTTATTTACCTTTTTAGATTTTCTTTTGGCATCATTTAGTGAAAAAGCCATAATGTGTATGCTGATACCTTTGACTAGACTAATAGACAGTGTATTCATGCTGGGACATACATTTGGTATGCTATAAGGATGCACAGTCATTGTATGTTAAAAAAATAAGAAAAGAAAAACAGTATAAAGATTGACTAACAAATTTCTACCATGTTTCTGAAAAGATGAAGGAGTAATAAATTGAACATAAACATTCCAGGCAAAATAATGTATAATGCCATGGAGTTTTAATTTTATTATGCATATATGTATAGTAGGTACACATGTATAATTTATAATATACCCACATATCTCATGCTTATTATATACATGCCTATGACTTACAGCAGATATCAGATAAAGAAATACTCTACTGCTGGAAAGCAAATGCATTTTACACACATACACACACACACACAAACACATATACACATTTAATTTCTGATTTCTTTTCTTTTCTTTTCTTTCTTTCTTTTTTTTTTTTTAGAGGTTTTTGCTATAGGGTGTGTGTGCTCGCCAGAAAGACAGAGACAGACAGAGAGACGGAAAGCAAGAAATCACCCCCCAGGGAGGATGGCCACACCACAATCCCTTCTCCTCCATTCTCCTCCTGGGATCTTGGGCACGCACGCACACACGCCCGGCTTGAGTTTAAGCCATTAGGTCCAGGACTCGAACCGCTGTCAACTACATAGGAGTGCAGCGACATAGCCATTATGCTAACTGCTGGTCCCTAATTTCTGATTTCTTAAACTCAGGAATAATTTTATGTAGTTTTATACAGACCAGTTATAGTGTTTTTCCAAATATTTTACTTTGCGACATCAACAATGTCGTTTCAACCTAGGACCTGGTCACAACATCGACACCAAAGAAATCCCCTGACAAAGCAAGTACGCTCTGACTGGCAGCAGCAGACCCCAGCGCCAGCTCATACTCACAGCTACCTGACTTTCAAAACCTGCTCTGACGTGGATGACTCAGCACAGCTAGGCCAGCGCCCCGGAGTAGCCAGCTGTGAGAGCTGCAGAAGCTCACAGCCTCAGCTGCCCCAGGTACAAGGGCTATTTTCTTAAGAAGCAGAAATGTTTGTTCCTTCTTTTTTTTTAAAAAAAAAAAACTCTTTAACAGCTAATAAAACATATTCAGTCATTGCAATGTAAATTTTGTAAAAGGTATCCTTTACAAAAAACAACAACAGGACAATGATTTCTTTGGGTTTTCCACATCAAAGATCACAATATAATTTCGTAGTTTTCTGAACTCCAAATTTAGTTAAAACACAAACTTTTTCACAAAAATAAAAGTCAGAAAATAAAAGCATTAGTGTAGGAAGATAATAAAAAAGACAAAAAAAGTGAGAATTTATATTCTATGATTAAGGGAGAGATAAAATAACTTCTTGTTTTCATGGAGAAACGTATATGAATGCATGTCCCAATGATACACTCAATTTTATTTGACCAGCTTACTGCCAGATAGAGCCCGTCCTGTAATCAAGTCTCAGGCTGGGGCCGGGTCAGTGGGAGCTGCAGATGGCACGAAGTTAATCTGGTTTGGTCAGAACGACCGAGGAGCCCACCGAGCACTCGGACCCCAGTCCCACTTACCTTCTTGACTAAACGAACGATTTGGCACGACATAGCAGACATAAAACCTCAAACCCACACATCTCCTACCCTCTTTTACTCAGAGGTGGGAGAGTGATGATAAGACAAGAAAAACTAAGAGGCAGTTTGAGTAAGTCCTGTGATGTCGGTATTTTCTGCACTTCCTTGGAGAAGCTACCTCTGGCCGTTTTTCCAGAAGAACACTTCTGCCATCTTGATTATTCCAAGCCTAACAACCCAATCTCTAAGTCAATTCCTGCTTGTTGCTACCTTCTGATGGCTGTTGTCCATTCTTTTGTCAGAAACACATACTGCGGTTCCCTTCACACAATCTCTATGATGCCGACAGACTGCACTGCTAGGAGACCGGCCAAACCCAGCCCTTCGGTGTCACAGACGGCCTTCCCGCTCTCTCTGCTCGATCCCTTTGAATTGTCTCTCTAGCGCTGAGCTTTCATCACCCTCAGGTTCAGGGCCACGCACCCACTAAGCACATGTGCAGTTGCCCTGTCCCCTGTGTCATTGCAAAGGTTTCAAGGCTAAGGCCAGCTCACGGACACGGGCTGGGCGCCTCCCTCACCTGCATGTCGTTATGTACGGTCTATTCTGCGTTTTCATTCCACCTTATGGGCCCACACAGCATCAAGCTGGAGGTATTTTGCAAACTGTGGACAGCATTATAGACTATTAATAGCCTCTTTTCGTTTTTAAAAATAATCTCCACACTTACGGCAGACAATTAGACAAATTAAATTGGGCAATATTTATGTTTAAAGTTCTGTTTTTCAACATCTGTTACCCCTCTCTCTCAATTGCATTCATTGCTTTTCAAGACACATTAATGATAGCTTTCCTCGCTTTCACAAGAATATACTTTCTCGTTCTCGCTTAAGTCTTTCCTGTTCTCCCAACCAAATTACCATTGCTTTTTTTTGACTAACTTTATCAAGTGATGTCTTAAGCTTTCCAAAAGTGTTCTTATCTTGGTCTAGCTATATTTTTCATCTTACACTCAAAACCTCCATGTTGACATTATGCAGAGGTCAGCGGATCTGAGGTGTTCTCGTTCTTGCTTAAGTCTTTTCTGTTCTCCCAAATTACCATTGCTTTTTTTTTACTAACTTTATCAAGTGATGTCTTAAGCTTTCCAAAAGTGCTCTTATCTTGGTCTAGCTATATTTTTCATCTTACACTCAAAACCTCCATGTTGACATTATGCAGAGGTCAGCGGATCTGAGGTGTCATTACAGAGGCTGAGCTGCTCGAGAAGTCTACTCACTAGCAGGCCTCAACACAGGCTAACACAGCTGCCAGGAAAGCGCTGAGCACCCAAGGGCATCAGGAGTCAAAACTCTATAGCATAATATAGAAAAGGTATGGAAGCATTCACTCACCTGCTTTTGGTCAACAATTATTTCGAGGTCTTCATCACTGCTTAGTTTTCCATATCCTTGTTCTTTACTTTTCTTGTGAAAGAATAATTTTAAATGATCATTTAGTTTCTTTCCATTTATAATCTTAATTCCTACTTAAAAGATAAAGTCTTTACTTAGCTTTGTTCACTAGTCATAATACATGCATGTCAGTTTCTTATGTACAACAGCAAATGTGTTATTGTTAAACTGCTGGCCTAATCATTCATTGTTTCTGCTTAGTTTTTTCATCCAAATTATTTCTTTAATCTTGTTCTCAGCATTCTTATGTTTCTCTTCATTTCTATAGTTTCAGAAAAGGTTCATTAACACTTTGAGATAAATAGGCAATTCTTTGAAGAATCCTAGCACATTTTTTCTTACAAAGACTGAAATTTCACTTAGTATATACTATGCTTAAGGCTTCAACTGTTAAATGTTTCATTTTAGTGTCTTACATAATTTTAAGAATAAAAAAAGTATTATACAAGTTAGATAACATAGCTTTAGTTTTTTCAACATTTACTTATAAGCCAGAAGCCTACTAACATTAGAAAAACATCCTGAATATAATTTTGAAAAGATAAATAAGATAGTTTTCAGAATTAGATAGCTTGGAGAACTGGAAGCATATAGAACATCTTTTTTTTTTCTGTCCCAAAGACCACTCTTCATTTATCTCTCCCATTAGAAAATCTACATTATAAGTTCTAACATATAAAAAAAAGACATATATCATGACAACACCATACAGTGTTCTACAAGAGGAAGATAACATATCTGTATTTGTTTTTACTCCCAGTGCAAAGGTTGATAAGAATACTAGAAATCACCCATAGTTTATTTACATCAGTAACAAATAGAAAATAAGAATCACTACACAGCCCAAGCTGGAGTCGAAGATTGTTTATTTAAAACAAAACAAAACAAAAGAAATCAAAAAGGTATTAACTACATCAGCTAGAATCAAGGGAATTAAAAATATTTCTATGCTCACATCTACCGAGTCATATCAGCATCCCAAAGTCATTGAGGGAAGAATTGTATCTTTTAACAAACATGATAGGAATCTTCTTTACACTGTGGAGCGTAAATCTGATCTGTTTTTTTCCTATCATTTCAAAAATTGGGTTTACATATTTCCTTCTAAATACACATTGTTTATATTTTTGTGTTTTTACTGTAATGAAGAGGTTTCGGTTTCTGAATCTTCGAGTATTAGGACGCACTAATAAAATCCAAGTCCTCATTCATACATTAATGAACTTAGCCACTTAGAACAGAGCAGATGGCCACAGTATTCCCTCTCTTACTCTTGTCCACATTTTACGTTCCAAGCTACTTCTCTCCCATGACTCTGCCTTAGCACCCTTCTAGCCCACGGGTCACCGTGTGATATTCCAGAGACCCCTAATGCAAAACACTTAGGAGTGCCTTCCCGAGTAGCGATCTGTATACGTACCAAGTAGTTCATTTGCACGACCCGATTTCTGGACAGAAGGGCAGTGAGCAGAGATGGAGTATGGGTTCTTCCATCCATCTCACTGTCAGACATCCCAGAATTCTTTGCACCAGCGGTGCTGGCTTCATTGCCAGAACTTGCTGGCCAGAGAGCCACTGGGCTCGCCCAGCAAAACAGGGTTAATAATACACTGTAACTGAAGTTCTGATTCACTGCCTTGACTTTGCAAACATGTGAGATTTTTGGCCAGCAGGAAAGTCAGAGTAATAAAAATTCCTTTTTCTAGCTAATTTGTGTCTGCCCTGCTATGCTTTCTGAATGCTGCCCTCTCTTACCATTTCTGGAAAACTCATCCAGAACCAATTATATAATTTTGTACTTATTCCCAAGAATCTGGACTTCTCAGCCTCCTTGCCACAAAGCTCTCAATTTTACTTTAAAAACCCTCCCGCCCCAGGCTTTCTTGACAACCGTGCTAATGGCTACCCTGGGGTCAGGACTGCGGCTTCTGCCAACGCCAGGGTAATGCCACCCCTGTCTGATTCAGTGGTGAACTTTTCCGGGAAGAAGCTAGGTCAGGGAAGGAAATTATGTCTCCAACTACTCCAAGCAGAAGCTGGCGTTTCCCAAGTGGGAGGAGGCGCTGAGCTCTGATTTTTACTTAAGCCCTCGTCTCCAAACGGTCCCTAACGCACGCAGGACAAGGAGTCTTTCGCGTATCTCCAGGATCAAGCAATACCTGCCTGCTCACCCTGTAGCCCAGGGACATGAGCCATTTGCTCCCTGGCGACTCATCCTAGGGCGAGCACGGTCCTCCTTCAGGAGCTCAACCTCCCGCCCCCAGTGCTCTCCCCGGCGAGTCCCTGTCGTGTACCTACACCTGGCCGAGCACAGGGCAGCGCGTCTGCGGTCTTTCCCGTGAGCCAAGGGCTGAGCAAGGGGGAAACCGCTCCCGGCGGTGCCAGACCCAGGGGCAGGGTTTCCGTGGGAGGGAGAGCCTCCCTCGCTCCTCCCACCGCAGGGCCGCGCCCGCCAGCGCTTTGAGGCCCTTCCCCGGGCTCTCGGTGCTGGCTGCGCCCGTCCCCACGTGCAGGTGCAGCCGAGGTGCGACCACAGGGACTGGAGCAGGGGATCTCGGCCAGCGCTTCCAGTGGGAGCAGCGGGGAGGGAAAGGAGACAGGCATTGCTGACCGCTCCCTCCCCTAAGCAGCGTTCAGCTCGGTCTGTCCAGTTTCGGAAACCCCAAACGCAGCGTCTGCCACCCCTCACACGGTTCAGAGTCCTCCCCTTCCTGGTCCTCTTAGTGCTGACAGCTGTTTGCGTACTTTGGAAGCAGATTCATCGTTTTCCAAGAACCAACCTGAAAACCTCTCCTTACGACTGGGGCCCTCTCTCCTAGCCCAGTCTGCCTCCTGCCAGCCCCCAAGGCTCTCCACAACAGCAGAAAAGAGGTGTGTTTATTCATTTGAGTTAAATGAACCATTAAAGCTGGGAATTGTATAGGGAGACTGTATCTTGGGCACAGACGCAGAATTTATTATACAGGAGAATTTTGCAGGGAAGTAGCACAGCAAGAAAATCTGGTAAAAGACCGCATCGATGAGGAAGTTCATGTCCATTCCAGAATGCGACTTTACTGACAAGGAGGGGTTTAATCAAAAGGTGCTAGTTGTGTATGGGTTGGATTAAAATGATTCTCCATATGAGTATGGACTCATGGGCAGTGGGATATTTTGAAAGGGAAAAGGAACTCTCAATTTAGTTAGTTGTACTGATTAACCCCAGCTGCAATTTTTGCCTTACTACAGATGTCAAATGTAAAGATTAAATATCACATGCAAATATTTCAAAAAATTGTTACTATTTACTCAATACTGCAATGAGTGACACATAGCAGATATGGATTTATTAAAGCAAATGTCACCTACAGGGTACACAATGTCACCTACAGGGTACACAATGTCACCTACAGGGTACAAATGTCACCTACAGGGTACACAATGTCACCTACAGGGTACACAATGTAGCTGCAGGAAGAAAAGACCTACTTACTGTCTTTTTCATGGCTGCGAGGATTCAGTTCCTATCCTCTTATTTTTATCTTTAATCTTTTCCATAACCTTCCTTCCCATAGCCTGCAAAATTGTTCAGGTTTTCCCTGTCCTAAAGGTGATTTCTACACGTGGCTCTACCCTAAATACTTATCTAATCCATTTCTTATCTCTTCATTGTTAAGCTTGAAAGCAGGGTCTTAACTGGCCGCCAACAGTTCTGACTTTCTCTTCCCTTCTGGACCGATCACAATCACCAATGCTTTCTCGACAGCCCCAGTGAACTCCCAATTACCAAATGTTCTAGCAGTCCTTCCTTAGAATCAATTGAATACAGTGTCAATGAGAAGGTCGAGGACTGGGAGAGAAGATGATGGCTGAGAAGACATTGCTGAGCTTGCGGTGTCTTTGGAAAGTTCATCCCAGGGAAAGATCCAGTTGGTCATTTGGATTTGGGGGTCTATAGCTAAGAAGAGAGAAAAGGACACTTAAAATTGCAGGAGTGCATGTTCTCACTAAGGAAAAGCATATAGATTCAGAAGAGTTGGAGACTAAGGCTAGAGTCCAGAGACTGGTTATATTTTAAAAACGGGCAAAAGAACATTTTTTTTCCCTCATCAGTGAAAGATGAGGACAAGTAGTGGTCATAAAGGAGAAGCACTAGAATAAAATAACAGGAAAAAGAGTTCCAGATAAGCCGTATGCTGATGAGTTAAATAAAGATGTGACCGACAAGCTTTGGCTGTGTTTGGAAGTCATCAATGGCTTTAGGAACAGAAATGGTGAAGATAGAAACCACCTTACAGTCAACGACGGACCATATCGGTGGTAGGAAAGTGTAGACAATGAAAATATAATTGTTTTTCCTTAGAAAAGCTTCAAATGTAAAGAGGAAAGAGGGAACAAGAATGCTTATAGAAAGACAAAGAATACAGGAGAGGAATACTAGAGAGGTTATAAGTACTCCCCTTCTCTTATGGGAAAGCATTGAGCATGCTTAGACCTCACAGGAAAAAGAAGTTAGTCAAAAAGGGAAAATGTAGATACTAGTGAGTGGGAGGGATAACTGGAAAAGAAGAAAATATCAATAAAATAAGAATAAATACCTATTGGAGGAAATCTATTTCTCTTAAAATTTGCAGTGATGTGCTGGACAGTTGTAGGAGAAGTTTGGAAGGATATATACCTATTTCTCAAAGTCCTTTTCTTTGTAAGATGGAATTATGCATCATCTATGCTTTTCTCTTTATATTTGGCAGTACTTCTTGAAATTATTTTATAATTTTTAAAAAGTTAGCAATGTGAATTGCTAAATGTAATTGTAAATCACACTTTGTAAATGTGATCTCTTCAGTGATCCATAAGTTTGCCATTGAAAAGATTCATTTCAAGTCTACTGTGTAGAAAAAAGACTGAGTCAGGACTTTTTCCTTTAATATGCTCCTGGGAGTATTTTTAATGTAGAGCTTCAAGCTACAGAGATTGCAGCTGTTCTCTGTGGCAGGCATGGCAGGATGGGAGAGGGTTTTCTCTATTGCACTTAATATGCCTCTTGCCTCTTGACTCCCCCTTATAATATTAAGCTTCTCAGTTCTTTGACAACTTTTTGATTCCTTGTCCCTTCTTTTTAAAGACCCACAGTGTCAGCACAGCCACAAACACTAATGCTGTGGGAGCCAAAGAAACAATGAAAAAGGAGAACAGGAAGTGAGGGAGAAGGGTGAGTTCCTCTCAGGTGCCTGAAAGGAGCGCTTGAGAGTCGTCTTTTTAAGGACAGATCTCTGAAATAGAGAGTAATTGCCGTGTCAGCTAAAAAGACACTTTCAGATCATTCTTCTTTCTTATGTATGGGGACATCAGCTCTGAGAAGTGAAAAATGTTACCATTACTGCAAGTTTTCCAGAGGAACTTGTTAAGCCTGGCATTTAAAAAAAGATTTCTTTCCTCTTTTTATTAAAGACATTCACAGGATTTCATGCCCTCCTCTGACTGTGACCATGTTATGGTAGAGCAGAGTGGCCCCAGGGCTTGCTTACCTATTTGTGGGGGTGGAGACAGGTTTGGACAAACAAAGCGTATGGCAACCAAACTCAATTCTAAAGGCATTTTGTTGAGTAAAAAGAGTTATAAAGACAACATATTTTGAAGCTATGTTTTAAGGCATATTTAGTAGATTTTTAAATTAAAGTGAAATCTAATTAGGGAAAATAGATATGCCAGTTACTCACTAGCTGGGCAATTAGTTGTGGGCAGTGACCCACAACACAGTCTTTGTACATTTAGGGTGGCTCTAGGGATGACAGATAACCACCTGAAGAGCTTATAAAGTGTCTGAGCTTTCAAGAAATAGGAATTCTCCAGCCTATATCAAGATTTCTGTGTCACTGTGCAGCAACATTTCCTTCTACAAACAAATTCGGTTTTAGGTATGTCCTTTCTTACATTTTCTTCTCTGGTATTTTGTCATGAAACATTTCAAGCTTGTTGAAAGAATTCTAAAGTGAGCTCCTATGTATTTACCACCTAGATTCTTCTTTTTTTTTATTTTTTAAATTTCAATTTATTTATTTGCATTCATTCACTGTACATCATTACAGCATACAAAATGAGATTTTCCATCCAGAGTACACGGTATATTGTCTCAATCAAGCACATCAACAAACATGTTATTGTCAGCAAATAATTTTCCATTTCTTGTTTTCTGTATGTTTTGCTTTTTCCCCCCCGTCCTTGATTCCCTGTCTCTTACCCTCTGCCATCTCCCACTCTCTTCCCACACTGTCTCTTGTATCTATGTTTGCTTTCTATACTGTTTCCCCCCCACATTTTATTGAATTACTAAAGACCTTAATTAATGTAAATATTTTCATAGCAAACACAGGTGATATATACATTTCCATGAACACAAGTCTAACTTTACACATCCTATAAAGTAGCACCTAGCTAGGGCTATATATCTTACTGCAGTCATTGAATAATTTTTTTTTCCTGAGACTTTTTTTTTGTAACTTAATTTGCATTCATTCATTTTACATCGTTACAGCATACAAAATGAGATTTTCCATCCAGAATACACTATATATTGGCTCCATCAAGCACATCAACATACATGTTATCATCAACAAATAATTTTCCATTTCCTGTTTCCTATATATTTTGCT